CTAGAGATGATATGACCCAGGCATGCAAAAACCCAGACCATTCGGACCCCCCGGCCCTAAGTGATAACGGTTCCCGGAAGTGCAAATGGCCCTATTAGAACTTGGTAACTAGCGGTTGGAATGGAGCCAAAATATAGTATGTTATAGACCTAATTAAGGGAAGCTTAAGTTTAGAAACCCAGACCCCTTGGATCCCTACTTCCGGTTTTATGCCCTATGCAAATAGACCTCACCCCGAATTCAGGGAGTCGTTTCTCGGACCCCACTGAACGCAGGAAGCTAAAACTTTGAGATGGCATAGGTAGCAACGAAGTACATCTTGTGTTATAATTTGAACCAAATCCAGCGGCTGAACCGGAATTTATTAACACTTTGGAAAACCACCCCTTAAACCGGAAGTAGGCAATTTACGCAAAATAATGAGCGAGGGCAGATTGATTTTATGGCGGCATACTACAACTCACCCCCGGAAAAAGACCCCTCGTGATTAAAACCCCTCTGGCGACTCTTTCCGGTGTTAATAGCCTCTCCCCGGGAAAAGTAATTATGGACCTTAGAAATGGGATAACTTGGAAAGTATTAACGGGATATTGATTAAACTTGAAGGTAGGACCCCTATGGGATTTTAAACCCGAATATGGAAGATTGACCCCGGGTGACCCCGAGATGACCTCAAATTGACCTTTAGGCGTTTATGACCAAATTTGTATGGAAAACCTCGGGATTAACACCGGAAAGAGGCGTATTCAATCGACCCCAACCCTTGGGAAGGAGAATCGGTCACCTTACTAATTTTTGGGAGTGAACTTACCTATTGGGGAATAATTGAGAAGCCGAAAAAGGTATAGCTTAGACTTTGCATAATTGAATTAGTGGAATCATTTGTAGTGAACTTGGCAAACATCGGGTTCAACTTAGTTTGGCGAGTGCGCTATTAATAGAGTAGCAATACGGGTAAAAGAAAAGTAGTCCCAGGGGGAATTGACAGAACTGAAGCATAGCATGAGAAGTAGGAGTCCTAAATAACATGAATGAACGGGACATTTACTTAGCTCCCCGGAGGTGACTTTTTGGCACAATTCGACCCCTAATAAGTGAATTACGTTCCCCTGATAGCTAGAAGGTCGGGATTAGAATAGAGTATAGATCGGAATTTTAGATGCTTAGGATGAGTTAGCGACCCATAAAAAGGGTCTTCCCCTACGCCTGGGAAGTTGGAACGTTAATGGGATAATTAAATAAAAACCTTGGGAAGATTGGTTAATCAAACATAACTCGGTTTGGAGGTGAAAGTGGACTTGATATTTGCACAACTTAGTTAGAGATTCCTATAATGAACTTGGAACTTAATACTAGTGGCATCAGGGGAAGAATTCAGTCAAGACCTTGCGAAATGGGTACCAAAGTAAATGTCAGGACTTGTAGGGACGACATAACTCTAACTATAACTAAAGCTCAAATAGACAAATATAATAGAGAATAACAAGCAGCCTACCCTTAGGCAGAACAGTGATAACTACTATTGAGAGCAGTTGGTTCTCGGTCAGAGTTAGAGAATACTGTGAATTACTAGAGAGAGTAGTCGGTTCTCGTTAGCTAAAGAAGAACAATTGTGCTGTGAGAGCGAACGTTTGGTTCTCAGTTAGTTAGAGAATCAGGAATTGCGAGGTAAAGAGATCAGTCAAAGTACTTCAAAGGAATAGTGATCCTTAGCGACACTATTAATTTTAGTAGGTCGGACTGAGTGATTGAGCGGAATTACTGTGGGTAATTCAATAATTAAGAGTTTCTAGAAAAGAGACAATTGTTGGCTAAGTTATTTGGAACGCAAATTGCAATTAGGCAATTGTACCGATTGATCGCGGACCCTTTCCTTTTGATTAGATTACTAGATTATATTTGGGCCGCCTAGACCCTTCTGTATTTGGGCCAATACTTATTTGAATTTAATTACTACTGAAAATTCGTGTGATTGGCGAGAGTGAACGAGACAGCCGCAAGAGAAGTATAGAGAGGGGCAAGTAACAGAATACAGGACAGAGTAGTTGCCACCAACTTAACCCTTTCGGGATTGTGGATAGTGGTGAATGTCGGTCGCCCCGCTCAATTCACTACCAAAGAGACCACTTTGCGGTGCCGTTAAGTTAGAAAGTGAGAACGGACCTAGAGAAGCAATCCCTGAAAGCTACAAGCAGTAAGAAAATAAATAGCAAGATTGGATATTTCAGCAAATGGCGTGATTGGTGATTGGAGGCCTTCAGCAAATGGCGATCTGGTCCTAGTCTCAAATATCTTTTTTCATAGCAACGTTTTTAGAGAATTCTTTAAATGCAGTGAATGACTTGCACAGGTTTTTCTGCTTTTCGAAAAATGTTTGTTGGCAATTTTTCAATATTGTTAAAAGAAAACATCAAAAATATGGATCAATAGTCCCCCACCACAGGTTTTTTTGAAGGCTGTAGATAACGAATTAGGTAAAAGAGGCTAGGAAACTATACAAGCACACAAGAGAGTAGGCGGTCTTCCCATCCGTACTCTTTTTTGAAAATCGGTTAAAAAACTAAATTTTATTAAAACTTTTGCAAAGAGACTCAAACAAAATGGAAACAAAAACACTTTCATTTTCATAATGCATAGTTTTTTATCAAATAAGAATTCTGATCAAGCATGTCACGCAGGAAATTTGAATTTTAAATCAGTAACGGAGCAAAACTTCCGATGAGGAAACAAGCCGGCAATCTTTGAGCAGACACCAAATGAGCCGAAAATTAAAAAAAAAAATACTTTTTTAAATAAGAACCATTAAAAGTTCCAACTGCCTCCTGAATCAACAATCAAGATGATGACATGATCATTGCTTTGAGTACAAAAAACCGTGATGTGGCAACTAAGTCGACCAAATTTGAGCAGAAAAATGGAAGACCGACAAATAATTTTTACCTGAAAATTTTTTTTCAATTGCATAAGTTCTGAAAAAAATAGGTTTTGTTGGGATTCGAACCCAGAAAAGGATGAAAACGCCCCAGCGTTGCTTCTACGCCAAATACAACGGAATGTGGAAATGTTTAAGATTCAATAAAAAAAGCAAGTTGAAATTTTGTAAAAGTTTGTTACAGGAAAAAAAGTCTAAAGTCTAGTTCCCGATTACAAGACACTTGCTTTCGCAAATGTACAAAAATCAATTCACTGACAAAACTTAGAAAATAAATTTTAAATTTTTTTTCCTGATTTTTGAATGGGATCATTGGTGGTGTTAGTAGACCATGCTTCTAAGCGAGTACAAATTTTTTGCTGAAGGTGCGCAGTACTGACATGAAAGACCACTATTTTTTCTTGACTCATAGTAATTTTTTCCTTTTTGACTCATCCAGATTTCAGATTCGATAAGAAAGTGTTATTTTAATTTCAATTGTCATTGATTATTTTTAAAACACATTGTCGTCTTAATCTGGCAATTCAAATTTTGAAATCCCACGCAACAAATCAAAATCTCTGCAAAAATTAATCAAAACCACTTATCGAAGAGATAAAGGATAATCAATCAAGCTGATTAGCTCTTTAAAGGAGGTCGATTGCTGTTCAGTTGTCTAAAACTACGTTTAAAAAAAACGATAAGAAAACTAAGAAAACTTACAATGAAGAAACTTAGAATTTGATTTTGTTAATTTTTCATGCAAATCCTAGTCAATTTGGTTAAAATAGTTGGGGAACTTTAATTTTAATTTCCACTACCACTTCAACAGATAAACGAGTATCGCTGCAAAATATCTGTTGGTTTTAAGGGGTTTCGGTCTGACAGCAAGTGAGCCTATTGCCATGCATATGTAAAAGACCGCAGTTGGCGCGATCGCTCGTTCAAATTTTGTTTACTCAAATTATGTCTCCAATTAGCGTTCAGTTTTTCATATCTTCAATTACGCGAAGGAAATTGTCAATTCCCTCAAATTAAATGATTTTTAAAAATTAATTGAAAACTTGTACTTTAGTTATATTTCGACAAAGAACACCTATTTAAAACAGTTATCACATGCTATTTGGCCCACATGCTTGTCGATACTGACAGAATTTCTTTTTTTGTTCCGACCATTTGGAAAATGTGGGAAAATTTTGTTTTCGTGCGTTCAAATTTTTTTCTACGCAAAATCAGGTATCACAAAGAATCACCTGAATGCGTCGAGTGATATACCAATTTCAAGCCCTCTCAGTCGTGATTCGAACGACATTTCAAAACGTGTTCCCAGTATCGAGAAACACTGATTCAAAAGTTTTAATTTCTATTTCAGTTTCGAGCGAATAAAGCGAGCGAACAGGGTTAAGATTTTTTACCGCCATTTTGGGAACCAAAAACTTTAAAAAAAAACTGAAATTATTTGTATTTCAAGCCATTTTTTTTACAAAAGTTTTTTTCCATTTTGCCTATATTACTATGACTGTCAAGTATGCCTGAATTATAGATTAACACCACATCCTTTTACCACACCACGCAGAAAAAAAACTTAATTTGAAAAAAAAATTCTAGTTTTTTTTCAGACAATGGTCGGAACATTCTGGGATACTTGCACAGTAACCGGCTATCCTTGTTTGTTTTTGTAAATGTCTTTTCAACATTTGTTCGCGCTGATAGTATGAATTGTGTAAATCATTGTTAAATAAATACTTATACCTCTTGAGAAATAAATCTTCTTCAGGGGCTAGATCTCTTATGAAGTTGCTGTATAAATTTCGGTGCGTATTTGATCGAAACATGCTCGGTTAACCGAAAGCAAAACTGAGATGTGCCATTAGGTCTCATTTCCACAATTAAAACCGTTCACTTCAATTATCACTGTTTAGATCCAAATCATTTGTGATTTTAGACCCGGTTTTCAATAAGTCGCCGTTAATTCCGAAAAAACTGACTAGATTCAGTGACACTTTTAAAATCTATTTTACAAAATATTATATTAGCAAGGAAAAATCAGAAATGAATATTTAAATAGGAAACTCAATTTCTAATTAAGCGATCAAAAATTATTAAAAAATTAAAAAACATCACATGACTTTTAAAAATTAGCACCAATCACGATAATTGAGTTTCTTCAGTTTTTTTCTCACTGAGGGGGTAACTGTTCCTCCTCTGAGAACTTATGCATGGAGGCGACTACTGCAGACATTTGGCGTAATTTTTCAATGCCGGCCAGCATGTTTCTGAAACACACACATCCACTTTCAATATACTGGAATAAATATGGGTGGTTTCATTATATTGGGATGACGAAGAGACTTCCAACCTTCTCCCAACTTGAGAAAAATGGATCAACAAGTATAGTTTTTGTTTCTCTGGAAATTTAAAAGACAAATTCCACTTTCGAAACTAAAAATCCGTTCACGTTTTTTCGCGCCATTTGCAGGTTCGTATTTGGAGAATGCTATTTACGTCACTTTCAGCAGATGAATTTCAATTGAACTCAGAAAGTGCATATATACCTAAGTGCATTCATAAATGCATGAATATGTATGAAAGCACATCTGTAGTTATTAGACCATTTTAAGACTTTTTCCTGAAAAAAAAACAAAAAAATTAGCAAGACCTATATAAGAGTGTTCACTGCGTTCATTACTCTTAAAAAGTACTATAGTAGTTCTAAAATGAAAACGGCTGACTTCATTTGTGTTTCTCCCTCGGCGGCGATGAGATTGAGGTGCTGCGACACTGCCTGTCCTCTTTCTACCATCTCTTGGGGCACCTCCACCACCACCGGTCCACTTCGCCTCACCCTGCTACTCTTCTCCTCCAACCTGAACACCTCAGTCTCCAACTCCTTAACGCGCTGCACTGCACTTGTGTAGTTCTTCTCCACCTGAAACAAAAAAAAATTGGGATCTTGTTAACTATTCCCCCCCCCCCCCCCCCCCTATTTCGATTTTCAGAAATTCAACTCTTTAGCTGTCACATTTTCAATAGCTCAAGACAATTTTCAGAAAATATATTTTATAAAAATTTTTTATGTAGGTACTATATAAATAGTCCCTAATACAAATACGAATACATAATACGAATAATACATGCATAGGGGAAAATAGTTCAAAAAAGGGCCAAAAATTGTCATAGATGGTCGGGGAAAGTGTCGATCAACTCGAGGTACATCAGAAAACGACTGATATTTTGCTAACATTTTCAGTTTCGAAGAAAACATATATCGCCTTAATTAAAACTACGTGAATTTTAGAGTCTGGTGTGATTGACATTTTGATTTTAAAAAGAAGTCAATTTGTTGCACTTAGCAAAAAAAAAAAAAAAACGGCAGAATGGAGCTTCAAAATGCAGGAAACAATAAAACTGAAACAGGCTTTGAAAATAAGCGTTGAGAAAAAGACTAGGCCGACACCATGATTCGATCACTTGCTAGAATACGCGACCATTACCATTGCTTTGGCTATTGCTCCATAGGCACTGGCCTATTAGCACGTGTGTCGATTAGCATGTACATGCAAAAGATTGCTAACGAATTCGAGACTTTTTTTATACTCAGATGTGCAATTTTGAACAGCATGGCGCTTCCCCGAATATATGTTGGGCGAACATTTCCTGTTGTAATTTTTGTAATTCACAGAAAAGTTGGAAGGCATATTTTCTACTTAATCTGAGTCAACAATAATTAAATCAATTACTCAATATCTTCTTGCCGTCTTATGTAGTTAACACAAATTCGCATTGATTGAAAACGCATTCAATCAAACTGGCAAAAAGAATTTGAGCAGTATATATATTGAAATTGAAAGGACAAGTTTTGAGAAAAAATGATCTCGTAATACAACAATCGTTTGCTGCGTAAAACTGCTGGGTCAACAAGAAAATTCAGCTGGGAAACCAAAAAATTTTTCCGGGAACTTGGAAGTGAAAAAATTTTCCACCATTTGCACTAATGATATTGGAGAACGTAACCTCCCTTCCTTTGTTAAATGAATGAGAAAGAGAAAAAAATCGAAAATCAAATATCTAAAACTTAAATTCGAGCGGGAACAACCTTTTCTCCTCAGCACACATGAAAGAACTCGCTTAGTTCTATAACAATTGATTTAAAAAATCATATGCCATCCATTAAAGGTTCAAAAATGATGCAGAAAGAGTTCTAAAAATCGTGAAATGAATAAGTCTATCTAATATATTTAAAAATAGTCAAATTTCGCATCAATTTGTAGAACAAGTGCCTGGTTTTTTTAATTCGGCTAAAAAGACTGTCGGCTTGATGTTCGGAAACCTAAACCTAATCAGAGTAATCAAAAGATCAAAAAGTGCAGCAAGAGTGGCACTGTTTCTCAATTGAGCCTTAAATCAGATCAGATCAACTCAAATAAACTTAACGATACTAAAACATACGAACACCGTAACACGTAAGAGGACATTGAATCAAAAGACGTAAGCGAAGTACCTGACGCAAGTGTTTGTCCAGTGCTCCTGACTCCTCCTTTTCACGAACTCGAATCAGTTTCAACTCGCTTTCTAATTCGGTTATTCTAAACCAACAAATTAAAAGTCATTCAGCAGAAGAGGTAACTGAAGGTACCATAAACAAGACAGGTATTATGGCATTATTTGCTTTTTTCATCCCAGTTTAAATTACAACAAAGCTCCTGAAAGGGTCAAGTGTGGCACCATATTAAAACTGTTACAGCTATGATTTTGATTTAAAAAAAAAATTGACTCGGTTTTGAGGAAAACTGGCTCGAATTTTCCTGTATTTCAGACTAACTGACTCGACATTGCGATATGACAAAACGAGAGATTGCTTTTTCGAATTTCATTTCATCAAACTTTGTGGTTGGATCATTATGCGCTTGATTTTTTTCTATTTCTGAACCTTTTGGATTTTTTATTAAATTTCCTTTATTCAATCGTTGTGACCGGAACATTAAGAGCTTGTGATAAAAGACTTGCCATACAACACAAACATAGCATTGCAAGATAGTCGATTGAAAATGAATCGGAGCCAATGAGTCAGAAAAAAATACTGGAGATACCAAAAAAAATTCATACGTTCGTCCAATGATACTCAGTTTGAGAAAATTAATAAGCATTCGGAATCATTTACTGAGCCGAAAATAAGCCAAAAATACTTGTGTAAACGCCGGTCAAACCGACAACAAAATCGATGTCATCGAGCTTTTTGAGCCACTAAGTTTTGAAACTTTATAATGTTTTTACATCCAAAACAGTAAAATCTGTCTTTTTTAAACGCTGCAATAAAGAGTGACTAATCCCGCCGACGTAAATTTGCAATTGAGTTTTTGAATTTACAACAAGCACAATTTTCAATTACAGTTACAATTTCTTAAATCCGAAGAAAAATCGATGCTTTAGAAGGTACGCCGACAAAAACAATCAGACAAACAATATACCGACAATTAAGTTTTTTTTAGAAAAAAAATCAATTTCCACGCATATCAATAAAAAAATTCCGACCGAGAATCGAGCCCCAGTTCGAGTGCAACCCATGCTTAAAAACTGAACCAATGGGGAATTGGCCTGGTAGTGATTGAAACTTCAAAAACATAGCCAACAAACAGTTCGGAAGGTGTCAATGAACGCAAGCAAAAAATGAAAGAAATGTTTTTTTTTTTTGAGAAAAAGTTCAGCTTTCACTTTTCGATGACAAACGTACAGAGACCGAAACGCTTTTTGAAAATCAACAGCAATTTTAGAAAACACGATCAATATGTGACTTTTCCAGAGAATTAGTTAACGTTATTCGCCCCATTTTTGCTTTCATAATTAGACTGCATTATTTGCCTTGCTTTTACAAATAAACTTGAAAAAAATCAGAAGTCAAACGGCAAAAAAAAATCAAATTTGGTGGGAACTTTATGACTTTTTCCTGAAAAAAAAGCTAAATTAAATCAGGACAACCTATATAAGTGTAGGTACTACGTTCATTGGCACTTGATAAAGCAAAACTAATTTCTTATCAGCACGTCGACATTTTGAAATCTGCGCGTATCAAACAGATTTGTATGAAAAAAATTTGATTAGATTACCGTCTGTTCCGGTTCGTGAGCAGATGTTCCTTGTGATCAATCTCATCTCGAAGCCGAGTGTTTTCTCTCACTAACTACAACAGGCAAATAGACAACTAGATCATTGGACTACACGAAGATCAACAAAATCGCAGGCAACAGTTCTCAGATAACATAGTTAGCATCTATATCATGATTTAGAACTTGTACGAAGAGAGGCGGTTTCAGGCCATTGCCGGACTACAGTCTCATATCCATTTACCACAACTAAGCGCACGGTTTGCCCACTGTTCTTAAGATTACAACATTGTGAAGGAATTCAAACATCTGCTTAAAAGATCGATGAGTCAGTACCTGTTTGACGTCAATTGAGCTCAAGTCCAGCGAATCCAGTGATGACTCACTACTCGCACGTAGCTGATCTAATTGTCTCTGCATTCCACTGTCGGCATGTGAGTCCTTTGGCACACTGACCGTTGAAGAGGTTTGTTCAAGCGGATCCTACAGCAAACCAGGAATTGAAAAACCTTAAAATGTTAGATTTTTAGCTATTAGAAGGGCTTGAAGTTCAATTAGAAGAAACTTACCTTTGCTACTTTGGCAACGTAGTTCTTGAATGAGAAGGGATTTTCAGCAGCTGAAATAATGAAAAAAATCAACACTTCAGGAAGTGGATCTCTAACTATTTCTCCAACTTTGGTACCTAGAAAAAGAATCCGCCCTCCGAAGAGTAATTTAACGATTCAGTATATGCGAATGGTTTACCAAGTAACGAGTATCACCTTTTTCCAAAAATGAAAGATGGCAGATAGCTGAAAAGCTCTCAGGTCATTCCGTTTTTTCAGGAGAGCGTTACCGAAGTTCCCGATTGCCTGTGGTCAAAACTTTTTGGTTCCTTCTAGTCTAAATTAACCAAATAATTTTAAAAAGTTCTGTGTTGATGAAAGAACGGTTGAAATTTTTCGCGTCTTATAGTAAAGTCATTGTCAAAATTCAAGCTAGCCCCTTAACCCAGCCAAACATTCAAAGACGCGCGCACCCACGCAAACAAGAAAAAACGACAAACAAAATATAATGTTCTTTTTTTTGAAAAGAACATTCTATGCTACTCACACATCAACCTGATACTCTTGATAAAGATTCAAAATGTAACCTTTTCTCCTTCATCCAAGCGTACCTTGTTTCTGAAGACGACGCTTTTCCTTTTCCTTAACATTTTCATCTTCACTGCTTTCACTGAGATCCAAATCATTCGAAGTACGAGCAGTTTTAGGTTTAGTACTAACTACAAATGTCCCATCCATCGCTAACGATGAACTACCTTTCTCATTATTGCACTCTTTTTGATTTTTTGAAGTACCGCCGGCAAAAGGAACTTCCTCTGGGGGTTGAAAAGACACTGTTTGTTCACGAGGCGGGGGAGGCAGCGGAGGTGGAGAGGGAAGAGAAGGCAGAGGAATTTCGATCTCCACTTTCTTCTTTCGAGTAGCACCACGTTTAGCCTTCGAAGACTCTTTCGGTTTATATTCAGCTTCAACTGGCACCGCGTCTTCATTAAATATATCAGCTTCATTGTTTTCGAGGTCGGTTATCTGGGATAAGACTTCGCTACTTTTCGGATCCTTTTCAGCTAACTTGTTCGCACGTTTTCGGACAGGAACCTTACTCTTTTTGAGGGGCTGCTTCTTAGAAGTTTCATCATTTTCCTCCTCGTCGTCAGCGTATTTGGGAACTTGCTTGGGCTTTCTTCTGGTCCTAGTTGAATCTACGGACACGTTTTCATTGCTGTTGTGACTCGAAGGTGTTTCACTGTCTTCAGGCTCCAACTCTTTTTTGGCTGCGCGTCTGGAACTAGTCTTTGTGGGCATCACAATCTGAATAAACACAAAAAAATTTGAAAAGTAGTTTTAAAACTACTGAAGATACAGAAATAATTATTTTTAAAGAATTATTTTAAGAATACATATCACATAAAATACCGCATAGAAGCAATGCTATTTGAAAATGAAAACAAATAAAAACTAACGGATTTGGTGATTTATGATCTAATAAGCATCTTTCAAACTAAAAATTTACTTAAAGGATTAGATGTTTAAAGCGTTTCTATATTTGAGCTGAGTGTCGGTATCTTCGAACAATATTTAAAAATTTCGGTCAACGAAAAAATGAATGATTTCAAAGCTCTTTAAAATTCAACACAGAGGCGAAACTCCACTTCGCATACACAAGCAAAAGTATGACCGATAACACTACTGGGAATGAGTAAACCTTTGAGTCTACAAAATTTATTAAATGACGCACGCCAATTATGAGTCTACATAATTGCTAAGTGGCGCAAGCCAATTATGAGACATTAGCAGTACCTGTCAATTTAAAAAAAAAAGAATTTACCAACAAACGCTTCAATTTATAGAGCGGACGCATTTTAACTAGTATATGAAAAAGTTCATTAAAATAATCCGACCCTGCCCAGGTTCGAACCCTCTTATTTTGTTGCGGGCCTCCTTCCCTCCCTCTACGCTACAGATCCATGATACCTTGAAGCTAAAGTGCTATTTGTAATATAATAGTCTGTTAATATCATTGGCATTGGCTGTACTTAATAGATGGTTTTTGATCAAAATGAACACTTTCAAAATGAACACATTTTGTCGCAACAATATTTGCGACTTAAGTTGGAAAAAAAGCTTTGCTTCTGTAATAATCATTTATGGTTGACAATTTTACCTTTATGTTTTCATAAAATTGACGCAATTTTAACTAGCTTGAACGATAGTTTAACATTCCAAACCGATTGGAAAGCTAAGAAATCCATCCATCGTTGAAACTAAAAAATGGTTGATCCGATCATTTAATGAAGTTACACGATAAAACGTAGTTCAGCTGACTCATTGGGTTCTGAACTGAAACATCTGATGGGGTCAGGTCGAGTGTCGTATTTTATTTGCAGTGAAATACAGACAATTTGTAATCCAAACTGACTTAAATTGTAATCCAAAACATAGCCAATCGAAGATTGAAAAAGGGTAATGAGCTTTCAAAGAAAAAAATAGATGGCCTATAAGCTCTTTGAATTTCTTGAACGATTTATGATTAACGCTTTTTTAATATCATCAACACAACTTGAGAAAACTGGATCAACAGGCAAAGTTTATACTCCGGTGGAAATCTAAAAATTAAATTCCACTTTCGAAACTAGAAATTGTTCATGTTTTTTCGCGCCATTTCCACGTTCTTATAAACACATTAATATAAATTCACATCTGTAGTTATTAGAGCACTTTAAGACTTTTTGCAGAAACAAAAAATCACCAAGACGTATATAAAAGTCTTCACTACGCTGATTACTCTTAATTAAGATAACAACTCAAGTCACTTTGCCTAACAAATTATGTCTGCATGTCACTACAAAATGATATGACACTCGACCCCATTAAAGGTTTCAGTTCGGAACCCAACGAATCAGCTGCACAATTGTTTATCTTGTAACTTTATTCCATGTTCGGATTGAAATTGACAGCAAAATTTATGGTAAGCTTTATTCATTAAAAAAATATATATTCGTTAAATTGACATATTTCAGAAAGAAATGCAGCAAAATTTAGTATTTACTCGACTTCAGGCCAACAATAGCGATCTTAACTTGAATGGTCACGTAACCATAAGAGACTAATTTGAGTTAACAGGTGATATAATTTAACGATAACTTTCACATCCTTAAAAATTTTCAAAAAAATGCCACGTTTTTCAACAAAGGCGAAACGAAGCTTCGCAACACTTGCAGAAAATATATACCACAACAAACAATTCAAAATCAAGTACTTGTCCGTTAACAAATAACATGATTGTGAAAATTTTAGTTGTAGTTACGTGCAGAACTAATCTGAAAAACTAAAAAAGATAAGTTTTCCAATTGAGGTTTTTGAGTTTTCAAGAAGCTAGGGTTTTCCGGTTTGCATAAAAGTACAGGTGCTATGGAAACTAACCGACAAAAATAGGCAGAAACATTGTTTTCTGCAGCTGAAAACTTTTAAATTTGCACAAAGAAAGAGATCCTTCCTGGATCCAAATCCTAGACTTTTGTAGATCCAGGAATCTTCATTGGCTTCAGGCTAAACATGCATCATAGAACTTTCGTTGAACTGCTTATGAACCAAGCTATCCAATGATAAGTGATTCTACTAAGCAAGCTAATCACGAGGAAAAACGTTTGTGCTCCAATTTGATAACGCTTGCTACTTGCAACAAAAAATCTATTTCCAACTCAACTCGGGAAGTCTAGTTTAAACATAAGGAGTCAAATTTAGAAAACTTTTACTTAAAAACACCAAATTAAAAAATTAGAATTAAAAAAACGAAAATGAGCGTGAGCCTATCATATGCTCCAAGTTCCAGGCAATCGTTGACACTATTAATTATTAGAAAAAAAAAACTTAAAACGAAACTAAGTCGACAAACTCTGAAAAGAGGAACACAAAACCAAAATGAAATGTGATTTTATTGCAACACTATCAATTTCTGGATAGCACACTTAATGTATTAGAAGTAAAATAGCATTAATCAAATAAAACCGGAAATTTAGCAAACGAAAACCCCAAAAACATAACTAACAGACTTTTCAACTGTCTGTTAGCTATGTTTTTGGATTTAGGGTTAGCTTTAGCATGAGATAAAAATGAAAGAAAAATGAAAAACCAAATTTCAAAAAATGAATGCAAAAATTACAAACAACTGCCACAAAAAAGAATATACAGAAAATCTGAAAAAAAACACTGACAGTATGAACATAGCCAACTGACAGTTGGAAAAGAGTAATGAACGAAAGGAAACTGAAAAAAAATCCGATTGGTTTTAAAAAAATCTTCAACTTTTGAATTTTGAAGAAAAAAAATAGATGGCCTTTAAGCTCTTTGAATTTGTAGAACAATTTATGATGAAAACTTTTTTTGCTAAAATTAACCCAATTTGATAAGACTGGATCAATAAGTGAAACTTTTTTAGCTGGGAAATCTAACTGTTAACTTCCATTTTCGAAATTAGAAGTCGATAACGTTTTTCGTGACCTTTACACTTTTGCTGTTCGATAGTGGGGTTTGCTTTCCTTTTAACAATGGAAATACACTGAACTTAAAAAGAAATCACAGGTCATCTTAACTGAGCGTGAACAAATTTTAAGACTTTTTCCTCAAAAAAAAACCAAAAAAAACAGCAAGACCGAGCGTACTCACTACGTTCATTACTATTAAAAATAACCCAAATATTTCAAGTTTCATAAAACATGAAACTTATACCCAACGGTAAGATAGCTGGATCATGACAAAAAGGAAACATTTTAAAAGTACGCCCGTAAAGAACCACATTCCTGGATCTCGGGCAAAACTTGCCGCCACATTCCTTTGAAGACAAAACAGTAGAGACGAATATACCAAAAAAAATCTGGATATTTATCAACATTTTTTGGCATATTGAGACAATACGATTAACCATCATCGTGAATCAAAATTGCTCAATACAAAAACAGACCGAACTAATTAAAAGTAATATTAGTTCCCCGAACTTTTAGGACAAAAAAATCAGAAAATATGCATCCGAAAAAACTGAAAATTTCAGAAATCATGCATCCGAAATGCAAAAAAAAAAACTTCTGACAGAATATTTCAAAAAATCTCCTTTTTATAACAGCATTTTGGCGCCTATGAAAACCAGAGAACCATGAATTGTATTAACCCTCATGAAAATGAAGAAAAAATAATCAAATCTAGCAAAAAATTTGAAATAAAATACCCGGCAAGTAGCCGACAAATTTTGGGTCAAAATCAACGTCGACAAAAAAAATTATATCTTAAAATTCTTCAGCTGTACCACAATTATCACTTCAGTAGTTCCAAGCCAGCTCTTGAACTACAGCTGTTAGACGTGAAAAAAATTTAGTACCCGATTGCAATACCCTTACTTGACGCAAGGGTTAACGACGACGAAAAAAAATGAACAGACATTTGTTCACGATCTTTGCATTTACAGAAAGACCAGCCTTGGAAAAAAAATTGCATCAAATTCTTAACCAGGACAACAACATTGCTTCTCCGTAAAGAGCTGCACAGCTCGTATGTTCGTCCTTTCACTCCTGGATAAACTGCAAATCACGGCAACTGCACTACGCTGTTGATTAATCTGCTAGATTGTATTTTTTCAACAGACAGGCAGCTAAGCCGACGGAAATCTTAAGTAAAGTCATGGCGCCGCAAAATTTTTACTAAGAAAGGTAGCCAGTTGCTGTCCAAGTTGCGAAAAAGCTCCACCCAACCAAAAGTCAAACAGCGAAAAAAAATTAATTTTAGCTTGGACAAACTTTAAGACTTTTCCTAAAAACACGAAATAAAAATTATCACGACCTATAAAAGAGTCTGAAGTACGTTTTTCTACTCTTGAGCAAAAAGAAGTAATTTTTCTCACAGTAAGCCAAAAACTGTTTTGTCACATTCACTATCCTTCTTTCCGCGGGTAAACGTGATCAAAAAGCGCTATAAAAATCAGTCTTAAGAAATTATCTTATCAAAACTACAAGACCTATAAGGTGATTACACTGCGATCAGAATCAGTTCAAATCAAATAAACAGATAGCCACCGGAAATTTGAATAACCGGTAAGGAACATGAAAACTTATCTAAATTTATTTTTTCCCAATTTTCATATAGAAGTCACGCCTTTTACCCGCCATTTGCGCTAAATGAAGGAACACTTTCTTAAGGTTTACATATGATTCACGGCTGAGAACTCAAAGGGCATGCCCTAAATCAGTGAAAATTAGCTTCTATCAGTACCAAATTATATATGTTTTTATTGAGTTCGAAGGCATCTATTTTCTGTGGCTTTTCTGTCATCTAAAACTTCCCGTAGATCCGAGAATTGAAAGTCAAAGAGTCTTTGATATAGTTATATTTTTCAAACATCTAGTTCAGCAAATATTAGTTAACAATTTCAGATTTATCTCATCTAAAGAAATGATTTCAGCAAGTCAAGTCAATTATAGCCTAAGTCGATCAAGTTGTGTACGAATTAGTTACATTCAGCTTTGTTGTGCAAAGTCATGAGACGAAAACATACATCTCATCAAGTTATTCGTGAGCTAATCAGTCCGATTATTTAATTTCGTGCGTTAATAATTTCGACAAATTCTGGTTTCAAGGAGGCGCCTCCGACTAAAAACCCGTCAATGTCTGGCTTCTTTGCCAGATCCTTGCAATTTCCTCCCGACACCGAGCCTCCGTAGATTATCCGGATAGAGTCCGCGACCTCTTTTGAAACTTCAGCTGCCATCCATGCTCTCAACTGCTGGTGAACTTCTTGCGCTTGATCCGGTGATGCTGTTTTGCCAGTTCCGATAGCCCAAACTGGCTCATAAGCGATTACCACTTTAGACCAATCAGAGATTGCCTTTTTAATGGCAGTTAGTTGACGCACATTCACTGCTTCAGTTTGGCCAGCCTCTCGCTCCTCTAGTTTCTCTCCAATACACGCGATAACAGTCAGACCGTTCTCCAAAGCATGCGCACATTTCTCCGCGATCAACTCGTCTGTTTCTCCGAATACATGACGACGCTCACTGTGCCCCAAAATGACATGAGTCACACCTAGATCCTTGAGCATTGCGGGGCTAATGTCACCAGTGAACGCGCCCTTTTCCACCTTGTAGCAGTTCTGGGCTGATACGAAGACGGCAGCATCTAGCTTGGATCTGGTGTACTCCAGGTAGCATTGAGGAGGAGCGCAAACTGTTTCCACGCTCTCGTTTTTATTGCTGTTGAGACGCTCAATGATGGTATCAATGGCGGCCTTGTTGCCGTTCATTTTCCAGTTTCCACCAACGAAGAACTTTCGAGAAGACATTTTAGCTCACTGAAATTGGAGGTAAAATTTAGATAGCTACATCCACGTGTCACAAAATCAAGATGCAAAAAATATCGGCAACAATCAGTTGAAAAAGAGTCAACGAACGCAAGTTAACAAAACAAAAATACGACTTGTTTTTTTTGAAAAAATCTCAGCTTTCGAATTTCAAAGAAAAAAATTAATGACCTCAAAGCTCTTTGACAGTAGAAATGACCCAAATTGAAAAATTCAAATTTAAAAAAAAACGAAACTAGAAGTCGATCACGTTTTTCGTGACCTTTTACACTTTGCTTATCAATAGTGGGGTTAGCCTTCGTTTGAACAAAGTAAATGATCTCAAAAAAAGAAATCCAAGTCATACCGCGGAAAAGCAAATTTGAGCGTTAACAATTTTGAAGACTTTTCCTGAAAAAATAATGAAAAAAATCATTACGCCCTATAAAAGAGTCTGATAATTAAAAAAATTCGCACATAATTGGTATTTTTCAACGGATATTAGATCGAAAATCACTTTCAATTTCAAAACAATGAAAGGACTGAAAAAACTTTCGACTCGGAACGACAAATCTTCAGAATTAATTTTTAAATATCTATCATATTTACAAATGAACAACGCGTTTATTTACATCTGCAAAAAGACGAAGTACAATTGATATGATAAACATGAAAATGAACAATAAGACGTGGCAGACATTAAATTGCAAATTAAGTTAAGCAAAATGTCAAGTCTGCAGTAATCAATATTAAATTTTTTTATACAGACTATCTAACAGCTTACAAATCAGCGCTAAGACAATTTTCACAATGATATGGTAGAATCGACTAAAAATGTTCTAGCAAACTGTCAATGGTTCCAAAAGCTGAAACAGACACACCACCACGAACAAGTCCAATGATACAAGTTCAATGATACAAAGCTTCATCCAATAATGTCAACAAGACATCACTTCACTTATTTCAACATCCACATACTTTGCGTCCATTCAACTCGAAGGGTCGTCACTCTTTTCAGACACGTGCCATAATAAATTGCAACGAAGTCGGATTGACTGAATTAATTAACATTTCGAGACAAACAAACTTCTTTAAAACCAAAATAAAAAAACTTTTCTGAATTATGTAATGCGATCTAAATTCTTAATTAATTCTGTCTATCCAAACGTTTTGCAATTATGTCTGTAGTTTAGAGCGTGTTGAGTTTCGTGCAAATGATGACTCTGAATGTCTGGTCGAATGCAGTGCACACTGCCAGTCCAGTCTTGTCTGGACTCCAGTCGAAGGAGGAGATGGGCTGGGTGGACATGATCACATTCTGCACACTCTCCACTGTCCCCACCACTCCCTCCTTCACCCCCTCGCTGCTCTCCTTCACTCGCGAGGAGGGGTAGGAGCTGAAATAAAAATTATATAATATAAGTTGCAAAAAAAGTTGGAACAGACAATTCAAAAGAGTAATCTTCCAATTTTAGCATGCAAGTTAGAATTTAAGGTAACCTTGATACATACTATCTGTCTGAACTATTAGCTTTTTGCATGCAAAAGTTGTATCTGAAATAGGACATTTGCTCTTTTTAATTTATTTGGCCTGTTCTAATTTTTGGCAACTCTATATTGTTTTTGCCAAATATCGTCGCCAATATCGGCGACCTTGAACTTAATCGGTGGTTTACATATAGAGAGTTGCAAAAAGTTCGGACAGACAGAATTAATTAAAAAGAACAACTGTCTAGACATCAACTGAAATTAAAACTGAAATAAACATAACATCGAAAGTTCATAAAGCAGAGCCACGGGATCTACTTAACAATCCCCACTTTCAAGAAAGGGGAGGAGATTGTTAATTAGATTACTGGCAGCGAACTTTCGACCCATCAGAATGCAGCAAAATTCGAATTTACATACAATGCTCTAGTGCGAATTTACTGTTTTTATTTACAGGGATGGAGATTCTTCAGTAGATACAATAGGTGGGGGGGGGGGGGGGGGGAGATTGTTAAGTAGATCCGAGTTTCGCTCAATCTATAACCACGGCGGGCAATTGCATCCAAAGCGTCGAGCTGTTTTATAGTAAAATCTGGATGTTCATCGCAGTATTTAAAAATTAGGCTAGCGTAATCATCGGATAACCGACAATCTCGCTTTTGAATTTGGTCTGACAAAAAATTCAAGGTTGTTCGGCTTCAGATTTTGCATGCAAAAAAGCGTCGAAAAGCACTGATTGCTCATTTTAATTAATTCTGTCTGTCCGAACTTTTTGCTACTAATTATAGCTAAGTTGGAACAGACAGAAATAATTTAGAAGAGCAATCTGCCAATTTTTTGCAATTTTTGCATAAAAATTTGAGTTTTTAGATAACCTTGAGTCATATTTTTTGTTTGAAAAGCTAGCTTTTGCATGCTAAAATTTTCTGAACGAGGTCATTTGCTCTTTTAATTAAATCTGTCTGTTGCAACTTTTTGCAAATCTCAATGAAGGTAGTTACAAAAAACTTGACGACAATTCTTTAATTCAAAAGAGCAAATAAATTCATTCAGAAATTTTTACTAGCGAAAGTTATTTTTTATATTTCAAGGTTGCCTAAAAAGTCAAATGTTGTTCTCATTCATTTAATTCTGTCTGTCCGAACTTTTGCATAGGCTTAATTCTTCTGCCACATCGCCTACGAGTTAAATTAAATTGGTTTCTGACTTCAAACTGAGCAGTTTCAGGCTATGTATAATAAAAATTTTAAAAAATCGGACAGAAAAATTTAATCATTGTTTTAGCCAAATTTAGTTGGCAATATCTTTTAGGTCAAAGAATCTGAACGAAAATTCATTAACCTAAAACTGCACATTTTGACAACCGATTTCTGTTTTTATCATTGATTTCCACACGTAAAATAGTGTCCAAAAACAACTCAACCTAAAAAGCAAATTTTTGACCATTTAAATTGCTCAAGGTCACCGATAGTGCCAACAATTTGGTATTAACTTTAACAGAGGCAAAACTTTGCTTCGCAAACTTTAGCGAGAACGCGACAAAAAGCAGCTCTATAAAGTGCGATAGCAAAAAAAAATAAGCTTCGAATTACTAAAAATGCGTCTACGTCTCGGATTCAATATGCCACCTAATGCTGCAACCTAGAGATTAGGAGTCTCATGCACTAACCACTCAGCCACGCACGCTTTATACATCGCAAATAGTAGCCACAAATAAAGCAGAAAAGATACTATGAAATTTCCAATGCTAGATCGTGATTATAGCAAAAGTGCCACCAAATAAGTGCACACTTTCCATTTTTAATGAACACTTTTTTGCGAGCTGGGTTAGAAAAAAACAAGGGTTCGTATTAATACACTAGCTGCTCGCACTTAGTGTAAATAAAGCAATTGCAATCGTCCTACTTCGCAAAAATGTTGCATGCAAAAACCACTGTCTCAGACAGAATTCAGATCTCAAGGTAGTCTGAAACATCGACATAAAATTGCAATAGAAATATGTCAATATAGGGAGATAGCTTATTACTTAATTCTGTCTGTCCGACGTTTTTGCAACTCTTTACAACTATAACAAACAACACAGAATTTCCGACCATAGTCTTGAAGTTCGTGTCGTTTGTTCTGCGTGCTGCGATAAAAGGATCTGAACGAAAAAAAGAACTTAGGCATATTTGACAGACATAGTAAAATAAGCAGAGTGGACAACAATTTTTGTTTAAAAAAAACTAGGGAAACAAAAAGAAATCATTTGAAAAGTAAACAAAAAAATCAAATATTTGTTTCAAATTTAATATCTTTTTTTCAATTTGAAGTTAATGATTGCCCAAATCGCTCTAAAAAACACCAAAAAGGTGAGTAAAACTAAGTTCTCACGGCTAAAAATATGCTACTGTAAGCTATTAAAAGAAGCTATTGCAAGCCTGCTTGCTCGCCAATTAAAATGAAAGCGCTTTAATTTGATACATCACTCGACCCATTCCGATGATTATTTGTGGTACCTGATTTTGTGTGAAAACAAAAAAAACTAAAACACGCCCGAATACAAAGTTCTTCCCCATTTTCAATGAGGATAAAAAAGCAAGTAAGTATGTCAGAAAAGTTGTTTACGGGAAAAAAAGTCTAGTTCCCGATTAAAACAAACGCCAAACTGCTAAAACATAATTTGAGCCGACTAAGAATTTTTCTCGAAAAAGAAACCATAAAACCGCACGAGTTAGAGTTCAAACCCATTTACACTTTTAAAAAAAAGAATCATAGCATACTCACTACTTCCATAAATTAATTCCGCCGCTTCCTCCGCAAGTCACAAACACGTCTCTGTTCTGGGGCAGATGACGCACCGCCCAAATTGTGCTTTTGTGCGCCTTCTCCGTCAGCATGTCGAAGCCCTTGGTGGGATGTTGAGTTCGCATGTCAAACAGATAGAACTTGGCCTCCAAAGTAGTGGCCACTAGCTTGTTCATCAATATGTCTTTGCGGTCAAATTCCAGGCCACAGATCTATGAAGAGGAACCATTATCAAGTGACATTTGTACTGAAGTCGAATGTTATTTTCCTTGGGTAGCCAAAATTCTATTGTTTTTCTTTACATCAGGTATTTATTAAGTCAAGCTTACTGAAACGGATCAACTGGACAACTTCCTTCCTCACCGAAAGAGGTGAAAACTTTTCAGTGAGTCACTTCAGACTTATCTCAAAACAAAATTCTACCATTTCAAAAACAAACACTAATCGAAAATTGCATAAGATTTGAAGTGAATATTTTTGCGATTTTCCTGTGCATTTTTAAAGTAAATGACCTTTATCTGATAAATAATAGGTACTAATAACAAGTCACACTTACTCCATTGCCGACATTCTTTTCCCACCTGACTGCCATTTTGCGCAGATCGAATAACTTCAAATCTCCATTGTCGTATCCAGCTCCTACTGTTCTGTCTTCCGCATTGTGTGAGTCACCTGATAAAGAAATCAATAATTGCGAGGTTCAAGTTAACATTCTTTTAAAACAGTTTTTGGTGGCGCGGGATGTTAATTTTTTGGCGGAAATCATAACCGAGCCTTTTACATTCCGCGTTTAGCAAATTTAATCCAAATTACATGCTCAACTTGGTCTACTGGGGGTTTAACAATATAAAAATTTAGAAGCTTTATTTAGATTTAAAAAGATGTCATAAAAGAATCATTTCAAACCTAAATCTGTCATAACCTAGATTTTCTACATATATCTGTCATAAAATAACTATTGATGTTGATCACTAAACAAAACATGGGGTTCTTTTTTTGTACTATTCATGTCACTAAACAAGACTCCTGGGTTCTATGTCGTACTAATTTTCGAAACCACTAACCAAAAGCGACAGCCCAACAATCGCGTTTTGCCTCTCCTTCTACGGGCTCCATTCTGGCGACCGGATACTCAGTCTGCCTCGTATCCCACACTCTTACTGCGCCATCTCTTCCCCCAGTCACCAGTTCAGGGGAGCCCTCCTGTGCCAGACCACCGGCGCCATCGATAGTGTTGATGATTTCAGAATGAGCACTTTCGTGTGAAAACACTGGCGACTTCCCAAGATTCTCGATGTCCCTGCAATACAAAAATTGAATTAAAATGTGCTTGTTCATGTCCAGAAAAATATGTCAGGGCAAATAATTGAAACTTTCAGGGCTCTCAACAACTAAAGTTGCTTCTGCACAAAATAAAAATTTTATTAACTATACAAACAATTGAGTCCTTAAAAAACACGAAGATCTGCATTAACTGCATATCCGGAACTTCCATATTTCGGTCAAAGAAAAAACTTATCTTAAAACTAAAACCACCAAAATCTACTTTAAATTTTATGAACTGTGGCATAGCGTACACAGGAGTTTTCCTAATAGAAATCTACGTGATTTTCTGTGCAGAATTATAAGAAAAATTGTTAACGGGAACACAGCCGATTTCCAATTACAATTCACTTGCTCTGCCAAGTAAAATAACAAAAACTCAAGCTTTCGGAAAACGATTGCTTCGCATCATTTCCCATACAACACAAACATGCATCACTTCCGATACAACACAAACATAAAAAAACTTAAGTAAAAAAAAACTAGAACTAACAAACTTTAAAATTTCTCAAGTCTCAATACAAGTTCATTTTGGGCAAAGAAGCCAGAAATTTGCATCTAAAATTAGCAACAGAACGAAACTTACCAAGAGTAAACAAAGCTGACAATCTTTAAGCAGACAAGTGGAGCCGAAAAACAATTAACTAAATTTTGAAGTCCCCCTGAAAGTACATTGAACACTACTTGCACTTGCTATTTCAATGAGAGTTGCTTACAGAAAAAAAATCCGGGATGCAGCTGAGCCAAATAAATCAAGGATTAGAAAATAAAAACTATCAAAACCCCATGAAAATACATTCAACAATACTTGCACTTATAAGTACAACGAAGGTTGCTTACAGCGCAAGCAAAATCCGCGATAAAGCAATTAAGCCGACAAAACTTGAGCAGACAAACAAAAGTCCGACAATTCAACTTTTACCCAAATAAAAATCAATTGAAAACATACTGAAAAAAACAAGGTCCTGCCAAGACTCGAACCCCTGATGATCTTAAGGTGCAGAGGCGATGGCAAATGAGCTAAAAAAAACTATTTAAAAATCATGGAACCTAGAGAATCGAACCTGTAGAACAAAAGGAGCTGCTTACAAAATGAGAACAATCCGTAATGTAGCAGAGCCAAAAATCATTGATTAACAAAAATTAAAACTTTCAAGTCCCCCATGAAACTACATTGAAAAACACTTGCTTTTATAACTACAGCGAAAGCTACTTACCGCGCAAGCCAAAATCCTTAATAAGGTAACTGAGCAGACAAACGAAAGCCCGACTATTCAACTAGGGGCCCAGCTGAAAGCTGGAGAGACCTGTTTGATTATTTTAATATTGATTATTTTAAAATTGTTTTAAAATTTCAGGTTTCTCAAGTCGATAGCGCTCTTCCTACGCAAAAAAAAGTGAAAGAGAAGCTTATGCATTCATTGGTAACGCTTTGGTAAAAAATTAAACGACTAGTTCGTTCAAAAATGTTCGTACTAAAATTAAACGAGCCTTTCACAGTGCGACAAGGCAACCGTAATGTGAATTAAGCGGGCCTTTTACAGTGCGACAACGCAAACCGTATCAATCATGGTTACATGCTAAATATATTTAAAATAAAATCATATGCACAATGCTTCAACAATGTGAATAATTATTCACTAGAATTAAGTGAAATGTGTGTTTCACAAACCAGCTAACATTAATGAAATAAAGTATTTTTCATTTTTCTAACGACTCTTTAATTTTCGAATTTTTTAAATTTTGTCCAAGCATTGCAAATATGACTATAATATGTTGACTATAACTGACATCACAAAAACGTTCTGGAACAAACCGACCTGATTAAAGAGAACTAGCGTAACTCGTGCAACTTCTCGTTGGACTTCTTCGAACCATACAAAAAAACTCAACACAAAGCCAATAGCACCAAGCAAAAGCGAGAAAACGTAAGCATAGAGGATTCCATTGTCTAAAAAATACACAAAATAAGTATATTGAATATTTGTTCCAATGCCAAAAAACTTTAAAAAAAACTTTTCCTAAGTGTACAGCTCTTCCCCGAGACAAATTAAGGACCAGCCGCTTGGGCAGGGGAGTTTCCTACAACCTGGTCTATCGATTAAACCCTTAAACCCAAATCTGGATGGGTAGTTTTTGAAGAAATCGAAAAAGTTTGAAAAAATGGCCTAAAAACCGAAAAATTGACTATTCCTAAGTGTAAAGCTCTTCCCCTAGACAAATTAGGGACAAGCCATTTGTGTAGGGGGGGTTCCTACAACCTGGTCTATCGATTAAACCCTTAATCCCAAATCTGGACGGGTAGTTTTTGAGGAAATCGGAAAGATTTGAAAAAAGGCCAAAAAAGTCAAAAAAAGTGACTTTTCCTAAGTCTATAGCTCTTCCCCTAGGCAAGTTAAGGACCAGCCGCTTGTGCGGGGGAGTTTCCTACAACCTGGTCTATCGATTAAACTCTTAATTCCAAATCTGGATGGGTAGTTTTTGAGGAAATCGATAATTTCCGAAAAAAATAGGCAAAAAAATCAAAAAAGTGACTTTTCCTAAGTCTATAGCTCTTCCCCTAAGCAAATTAGGGACCAGCCGCTTGTGCATGGGAGTTTCCTACAACCTGGTCTATCGATTAAACCCTTAATCCCAAATCTGGACGGGTAGTTTTTGAGGAAATCGAAAATTTCCGAAAAAATGGGGAAAAAGTGAAAAAGTACCGAGTTGTGAAGCTTTTCTAAGACCGTAGGGGGTGGGGTAGGGTAAAAATTGCCCTAAATTTCATGCAGGCAGGTAGGTGAAACGCTACTGAATCCAATTGTACCACTTTTATGAGAATCTGACGGGTAGTTTTTTGGGAAAGCGAATTTTTCGAAAAAGCGTCTCAAAAAAAAAAAAAAATAAAAAAAAAAAAAAACAAAAAACAGATCTCATCTGGAAAAAAAAAAACGTTTTCATAATACCTGTTTAATAAATCAAACAGGAACTTTTACCCAAAAAAAATTCAATTGAAAACATACTGAAAAAAAAACAAGGTCCTGCCAAGACTCGAACCCCTGATGATCTTAAGGTGCAGAAGCGATGGCAAATGAGCAAAAAAAACTTTTAAAAATCATGGAACCTAGAGAATCGAACCTGTAGAACAAAAGGAGCTGCTTACAAAATGAGAACAATCCGTAATGTAGCAGAGCCAAAAATCATTGATTAACAAAAATTAAAACTTTCAAGTCCCCCATGAAACTACATTGAACAACACTTGCTTTTATAACTACAGCGAAGGCTACTTACCGCGCAAGCCAAAATCCTTAATAAGGCAACTGAGCAGACAAACGAAAGCCCGACGATTCAACTTTTACCAACATAAAAAAATCAATTGCATACATACTGAAGTAAAAAAACAACGAGAACCCCTGATCTTAAGGGGATCAAAGTTAATGAAAAAAAGTCTAGCGTGTAAAGTTGAAAAGGATTAGGGATACTTATAATGGCAATCTTAACACAGAGGGGAAGCAAGGATTCGCATTAATTGTGATACCAAGCAATCATAACGTAACAAACATACCAATTGGATGAACGCCCGTTGTGCCAAAAACCAAAAAATGTCATAAAAAACTTTTGAGCTATATTGAATTTGTTCTGAAATTACATATTTTACACCCTTTCCCCTCCAAAAACCTACAAATGCATAAAGACACAAAAATTTGGCCGAATGAAACTTCCAAGCCAACAAAATTATGCAACGCCAGTTCGTAAATTTTCAATTTAAAGAAATGAATCAAAAATGCTATCATTTACAAACATAGCCAACAGACGGTTAGAAAATAGTCATAAAACAGAAAAAATATATTTTATACAAAAAACTTCCAACTTTCGAATTTCAATTTATATGCCCTTGAAGCAAATTGAATTTCAAGAAACAATTATAATTGACTTTTTTGTATTAAAATGAACTATATTTGAGAAAACTAGATCCATAGTTAAAGTTTTTATTCCGCTGGGAAAGCTTTTAAGTAAAATTCACTTCCGAAATTAGAAGTTGATAAAGTTTTTCGTGACATATACACTTTTACTGATGGATGGTGGACTTTGCCTTCTTTTTAATAAAGGAAATGAACTGCACTTAAAAATAAAGAAACCAAAAGTCAAACCCTAATAAAAATCATCACGACTAAAAAAGTCTTCACTACGTTCATTGACTCTTAATAAAAAGAAAATGGCTTTAGTAAATAGAAAATTTGCCTCCAGAAAAACTATCTGAACACCTATTCAACTTCTATTACCACGAACCATATTTGAAGATTTCCTTTAAAATCTCCCGTTGCGATTTGTCTGTGCTGAAGAGAGGAGGCACCAAAAGTTGCACATTTGAAAGAATTCGTCTTCTCAACCTGAAAAAAATTCAACAGTAGCCGGTTTTTACCCGTTAAGATCGACTAAAAAACTGAAGTGGCCTCTCAGTGAATTTCGTCTGAAAATTGAAAACATTCAGACCATTTTTTCTCGACAGAAACTTCTTTGAAACTTTTTTGATGAATCCGAAGCACGACCAATAAGGCTTTAGTATGGTACCCCACTTGAACTTCAGCAGGCTTTACTTGAGCTAGTCAGAAGAGGCTGGGAAAAAATTAAAAAGGAACTTCGCCTACGCCATAGTTCCTGTCCACTTATCGAGACAAAATAAAAAAATATATAACTAACGTCGGTTAATTTTTTTACTTCTCCGGCACCTGATGTCAGCTCATAAATTTGTAGAGTTCCAGTTCCGCGTGGCCTCGATCCTAAGACAATGAATCTGGCACTTCTAGGTATCCACTTAGCGTCATACAAGGTGAAATCAAGACTCTTTTCCACGTGCGCTATGATCTGAGGTTTGGTGAACGTTTGGGCAACACCGGAACTCTCGGCTGCGGGTGACATTTACTTCCTGAAAGATTCTTCTAATCTGTTATCAAGAATAACCGGTTGCGTTTCAGGTAGCACAGAAATTCCCGACAAGTTTTTACTTTTTACCTTTTTTGGTTTTTTCTTTTAGTTTTTGTAATATGAATATGTTGAAAAACTTTACGAAATGAAGGTTAAAACATGAGGCACAAAATTTCTCATTACAAAAGTTTTCGCCTTTTTTTTGTAATTAACATTTTTCAAGATCTTATAAAAAAAAACACTTTATTTGCACATCGAAATCTATTTCAACACATAAGTGTATGTCAAATATTTTCTATCAATTTATAAAAATATTATAACATCATTAGATACGCATAGTTACAATAAACAAAACAAAATTTATTACAATTATCGATGATTACTTTTCACCTGAGAGCTTCAAGGTGGTTTATATATAAATGTTATTATATAAACTTGAAGCTTTTCCTAAAACTTTACCATGAGTTGCCACAGAGGGGTCTTCTTTAAATAATAATTCTTGAATTTTATATTTGCTTTTTTGTATGATAGTATGTTTTTAAAGTTGACTTTATCATCTGTTAGTTTGTTCAAGATTATGACGGACTTTTAAAGAAGGAATTTTCTATGTATTGCCCATTGTATCTGTCGCATTGTTCTATGTATTGCCTATTTTTTTTATTCTCCCCCTCTACCAGGACAACCCCGCCGAATTAAACTGAACTGAATTACCATAGTAGCCGGCCTTAATGATAACTAATGTACAGATTCAGACTTTGCTCTTGATTTTTAAAAAAGGTCAATTAAAATGGGCCCTTCCGTCATGCGACGGTACGTGCACAGGTTGGATAGGGCCGTACCAACGCTATATAAACACATCGGCAAAATTTTTTAGCGATAGTGTGAAAATTTTACATGGTTGTGAATTTTGGGGTGTAGATTAACTTAAGTCTGCTGCAAACTTCTGTAAATGACCACTGGCACTGTATCTTGAGTAACACTCGGGTTCCTGGGGATTCACTGACAGACGGCAGCACGCAATGAGGACATCGATCTTGAGTCCGGGAAGTATGTGCCAGTCGGTCATATCTGGAAGTTTGACCTTGAGGAACACAAAAATACGTGGTTTTGGAATGGAGTTTTCTTTTTCAAAAATTCGAATGGAGCCTGTCATGCTCAGTTTTCTCGCGACAACTGAAAACATAAAATATAAAAGGAGAACGACCAAATTGACAATGGCGGGAAAGTGACAGAAAAACAGCGGGAAACTGCTATTCGCAATTTCCGAGATAATAATAAAAACCACGAGAGTAGAGCTGTCCTATCTTGATATAGGAGACAGTGATTAAAAAAGAAGATCGGAATCTAGCTGAACCAGAGTGAGCCTTCGGTGGAAAGGTGGATAACCGAAGTGTCCCAATGGTCCAGAACCAAAACTCCATTCTTGAGATAAAACATGTTCGATTAGAACTTATTGAATCAAACTTAATTCCCCGATCATTCTCAAGTTGCTTACTAATTTAGTTACCTCTAGTTCTCGAGTGTGCTGCTATGTAAGTACCTAATTTAGTTTTCCCGAGTGTGTTTTATGATTGTTATGTTGAGGTAAGGCGAGTTTTAGGTTGATCCATCTGAAATGGATCAAAGTTCTACTGTCTAATAAAGAGTAACTTAACGGATTGTTCCGACCCTGTTTTTGGGGACGTTAGTATGGGGACGTTCTTATTTTCTAGAGTGGGGGGATATTTTGGTAGTGGCCTTTAAGCTGTAACGGGTCTTAAGCGAACCGAATTGGCTCCGACCGTTTTGAGGTAGAAAAACACAAGAGATAGTGTCCCTGACTCTTGAGCCAATGGTTATAGGGCCTATTTTTCTTAAGCCTCATATGTGACCGAAGTAGGCGACTGTTACAGCATCAAGATATTGTCAATTAAAATTTACCCTCTTCGATTATAGCGCAGATAGAATTGTCTATGTTGGATGTATTTTTAATACTTTTGCACCCCCTAAGGCAGAGGATTGCAGTCCTCAGAAGTGCAAAACTTATTTTTGTTCTTATAATGTTTATTGTGTCCGAGTATGATTCGTTCCGTTTCTCGCTTAGTTTCTCTGCTAGTTTCTGAATGGTTTTTGTAGAGCCTGGTGCTGCTCCCCCAGTACACGCAAAAAATAGTGGAACAAAGCTGCTGTGTTCCACATCCAGAATTCTTTGTTGGTATTTTAATGTTTTGACACTCTCATAATAGTTGTAGGCGTCAGATATAATTTTAGGGCAGGATTTAGCATGGGGATTGGAAACTTTTACATCGAAAACGGTTCGGCTGAATCGGCCTCCCCAGAGTCCATTTGCTTTGATGTCAAGTCGAGGGTCATCTTCAGTAGTGGTTGTTTTGTTGTGAAAGCTTACGGCTCTATTTCAACATCATGGCATACTTCGTCCAGGAGTGTCGCAAAGGTATCGGGAATTTCATTATGTCTTAGGTGAGTGTATCCATCTTTGGGACAGTGTAGAGAGTAGGTCAGTGTGAACGCTTGTCCACATGGGCATGTAAGTGGATTGTTTGGTGGTTCCCATCCATATCTCTGTAATCAATCTTTAAACTCTGATTTGTTGAGAGAAACATTGTATTTTTTCAGGGTAGCACGCTTAGCCAATTCGTTGCTCCTTTCTGTGACGCTAGACTTTTTTTTTCTGATGAGCAATTTCCGATTTGAGAGTGTGACGTTCTGTCTCTCAGTTCTTATATTTCTATTTATCAGAGTTTGTTCCGTTTCAGCTAATTCTGGATCATTGTTTTCTAACGGATCACAAATGGTTTGTGACCACTCATAATTTCTTGAAAAACCGTGTTGATGAGGAGGTCTAATTCTCCCATTCTAAGTATTAGTGCAAAAAGGTTTCAATTTTCATCGGTTATATGGTCTTTACCAGTAATACTAGGAAGTAGCTGCTGTCTTACGTTTTTCTCAATTTCATCCATTTTCTTGAATGCTTCCGGAGTTGTTCTGGTTAGAAAGCTTAATTCACTTTGAACTTCCTTCGTGTGATTACGCATTTTGTGGTGATGTTTTGGCTATTTTGGAAAACTTTTCAGTTAGGGTAGCTGTCTTTTCATTTTCGCTTTCCATGTATTTATCGCCTGCTTCGATTTATCATGCATTTATCAACAGTGTTATTGACATACAGATTCGAGGGATATCTATTTGAGTTGCCCAGCGCATGATGTAGTGCCAGACAAAGGATAACTACTTTTTTTAAAGCAAATTCTCTTTGAGCGAGTTGAAGGCATTTTCTGCATCAATAAGTAGTATGGCGTCCGTTTCCGGTTTCTCAAACTCGTTCCTCAAGCTATGGATAGCTTATTCGATTCCACTTTTCTGGCCTAGGCAGATTTGGAATTTTTTTCCGAAAATTTTAAGGTCTGATTTTATACATTGGTTGATTTTTTTGCCAATTAATCTTCTCAGAGCCTCGCCTATACCAATGGCCCATACCCCTGGATTTTTGCAGGCGTTAGGTTGTACGCCGTTAGGTTTTCATGGGGGAGAACTCCACTTGCTATTGTATAGGATAGCTTAGCAATGGTTTTGCAAAGCTCAATGGATGCCTGGTTGAAGTGAGTTATTATCTTTCTCCATTCGCACGCATCAAGACCTGAAGGATCGTGGTTTCCCTGCGTTTTCAGGGTTGATTTTCGAAGTGTCTTAGCGTTTATTTGTTCGAATGTAGAGGGGTGGGATGGCATTGTGTCTTCACTTATTTCATTTGTATAGTTAGTGTTTGCTGTTTTGGCTTGGGGCGTTTTTTTTTTTCAGGATACTAAGGACTGTTTTTCCTTCAATGACTCGGTTTAGGGGAAGTAATCCTTTTATTTTCTCGTCTGAAATGTAGCCAATGGCAGTAGATAATTTGCCTGTACTCATTAGTTTAACTTCCTAGTTTACCTTGGAGTTCTTTTGTTTGGGATGTCTATTTTGGAGAGCTTTCGCTTCAGTAAAAAGATCTTCTAATAGGCCTTGCTTCCATAAAATTATGAGGCGGCTTAGTGTTTTAGAATTTGGTCCGTTTGTTTCGGATTTAGTTTTGGGGAGCAGCAGATGTGGGAGAATCATTGCCGCTTTCATTGCCACTTTAGAATTTGGTGTTTCTTCTACTAATGACAACAGCTGCTGGTTCAGTAATTCTATGAATTGGAAGTCGGGCTTGTTTTTGCTTAGAATTATGAAGCGCGGTTTCCAGTTAACGACATTTTTATGTATGTCGTTTATTTTAATTTCAAGTTCTTGGTCGATTAGTTTCCAGGGGTCGAAGGGGGCTGTAGTCATTGCTGGGGTCGATGGATAAGATTGTGTTGCATTGGGCAGTACGTTTGTTTCAGGTGTTGCCGGTGATGTTTCTTTTTGAGTTGTTGTGATTGGGACTGTGCTTGTTGGTTTGTTGGGGGAGTTGGGCTCTTTTGCAAAGTTCTCGAGGGTGCATTGTATGCAGGAGAACCCATCGTAATAAAATTATAAAATTTGCTGCTCTGTAGCCCGCTACATGAGACATGGATGTAAGCTTTGCAAATGACACATCATATGCCTCTTTTACGGAGGTGGCGTTTGCACATATGGCAGTGCGTTTGATGGGCCCTAATTTGGCAGCGAGGAGGTAAAATTATAATGAATATATATAAGTTAGTTGAACAAGCAATAAATTGAAAATTTTCTTACCATAAAAAGAAAAATTAATAACATCTTTACAAAAATTATTAGGACCAAAAATAACGTTTAGATTGGGGGAAATAATTTGGATTCTTCAACGCTAAAGTGTATTAAAAAGGTGAAACAAAGAGTTATTTAGAGCACCAAGTTTTCTGTTTATGAAGTGCTTATTTGCAGAGAGGATGGTTTTGGGGTTAATTAGCACATTTGGGTTGAACTTATGAATTATCAAATTCCTTAAAAATCTCCAATCATTAGCAAAGTCGGAAACCGTAGATGAATTATCATCAAATCCGGTTAATTTAGTAACACAG